CCCGCTTCGCCGCCGTCAGCGAGGCCTACCGGGTGCTGGGCAGCGCTGCCCTGCGCCGCAAATACGACCGCGGCCTCCTCAGCCCCGAGGACGTGCGCGCCGCCCCCCAGCCCTCGGGCCGCCCGCCCACACCTGCCCCACCGCCGCCTCGGGCCCCCGCCGCCGCCCGTCGTGGGCCCGTCCCGCCGCCTTTCGACTTCGACGCCTTCTACCGGGCGCACTACGGGGAGCAGCTGGAGCGGGAGCAGGTGCTGAGGGCACGGCGGGGGCAGCTTCGCCTCCGCCGGGAGGAGGCCGCGGCCCAGGGGCGTTTGCGGCTCGTCTCTGACCTCTCAGTCGGGCTCATCTTCTTCCTGGGTTTTGCGATCCTCTACGGCCTCAAGTGACAGCGGGGCCGGGCAGGCATCGGTCACCGACCCAGCTCCAGTGCTGCAGGAGGAAGGAGTGTCACCAGCGGGCATGGCAGCTGGCTGGGGGATGTCCCTTGTGTCCACACAGTTGGTAGGCACCACGTGCAGGGTCTGCTCCTCAGACTGTGACATTTCCCCTTTGCCAGTGTGACCTTCAGACACGGTATGTGACCAGCAGCCATCCACGTGCGAGCTCTGCTCCTTAGGCTGAGACATGTCCCTTCTGCCATTGTGACCTTCAGAGATAGTGCCCAAGCAGCAGGCTCCATGTGTGGGTTCTGCTCCATGGGCTGTGACCTGACCCCTCTGCTGGCGTGACCTTCAGAAATGGAGTGCAGCTGCAGACACGGTACATGGCTGTGACTCGACCTCTGCAAGTGTGACCAGCATGTGACCACTGGATACCACATGTGGGCTCTGCTCCACCGGCAGTGATGTGCCCTTGGCACCAACTTGGCCATGCAGACATGGTGTGGGGGCTCAAAAGGATGTGATGTGTCCCCTCTGCGGATACAGCCTGCAGGCATGGTGCCAGACAGGTAAATGTGCAGTTCATGGACTCTGCTTTGTGGACTGTGATGTGTCCCCTTCATTGGCACTGCTGTTTGACCTTGGTGGGAACTACATGCCTATTCTAAGCCACAGCAAAGATTAAACGGCTGTCAGTGGTGTTTGTGTGGTGTGTGTGCTCTCACTGGTTCTGAGTTATGGGTCTCTCTGGTTTTCTGTTAATCTGGGACCTGTCACATCTGTGCTGTCACACCTGTGGTTACTGCATCTTTGAGGAATTTTAGGAGTGTTGGTCTCCAAACTGCATCGTTGCTGTTGTTCAGGGTTTGCCTCGCTATGTGGTGAGTACTAAAATCTTGGCCTCAGCAGCCTGGAAGAATGAAACCTAGGCCCTTGGCAGTTTTTGTCGCAGTCAGTGTGTGACATTGCCTGGAGATGCTGCCCAAAGCACTTCAGTGTGTGACATTGCCTGGAGATGCTGCCCAAAGCACTTCTGTGTTCAGAACAGCCTGTCCTGTCTAGGGCTTGCCAGGAACTTTGATCAAGACCGTCCCACACAGGCCTTTGTGGCTGGGGGTGGTACCCTTCTGAGCACTGAGTGGCATTACTTGTGTTTTACATGTATCTAAGCATCATTTGCACATAAGAGTATTTGCCTATTTAAGCATTGAAGTGTTTTAAGAACCAAAGATTGTGTCTCTCGGAGCTTCTTGGACTTCTTGGGGTGAAGATTTCATCTGTGCTATGCTGGTACTACATGGAGTGAGCAAAGTTTCATGGTATTGAACTCTGAGTGTGCCAAAGACTTCATCTGCATTACTGTGCACTGGATTTGCTGGGCCTGGCTGGCAGCAGTCTGCGCAGGAGCCAAGCCCTCGCCTCTCACTGCAATGACCCTCAGTTATCTTTTCTCCCAACACAAAAATGTTAAAAGCAAATGTTCCATGTTTTACAGCTGCAGAGTTCTGTTACACTGCACTGAGCCCAAGGCAGTTGCGTGGCAGGAAGCATAATGTCTTCTGGTACAGGGTATATGCCGGACAGGAGAGCTTTCTGCCTTTTCTGGAAAGCATTGTACCACTTCCAGCTGCAGACTCCAGAGACTGCTGTGTCTTTGGAGCAAATTCAGCCCAGAGGCAGAAAGTGAGCTTTCTAGGATCCTCTCTGGTTGTCAGTTCATCCCTATGTGTGCGATTACAGTGCTGAAATGTCAGCACATGAAGAGCAGGAGCTTGGTGTTCAAGGGCATCAATGACAGAGTGAAAGTCTCCAGAACTGTGGCTCTGTGTCACATGCTGATGCATTTTCATGTTATAAATCAAGTCACTTGAAAGACCAGAGGCCGCTTCTCTGGCAGAGCTTTACAGGAAGCGTTCTCTTCCAGGCTGGAAAAGCTAGGGATGTCCATGGGAAGCAGTGGGTACTAGGGAGCAACTCTCTAGTTCCTGGTGTTGTGGCTTGCATGTTTTTAAGGCAGCCCTGCCAAACACGTGTCCTCTGGATTGATGTTTCCTAAATCTGTGTAGTGCTGAGGCCTGGGACTGTGGGCTGTTCCCTCAGGCAGCCTTTGTAACCAGCCCTGAGCCAGCTCCCTGCCAGAGAGAGGGTCTGGTGCAGTGCAGTGTGGAGCAGGAGAAACAGGCTGGCTGGCGTGCTGTCTGCGTCGCTCTGTCCCTTAACACTGAGACAGGGAAGAGCTGCTCCAGTAAGCCATCTGGGCTGACTCTCCCGCTCTGTCTGGTGGTTGTGTCTGAAATTGCGCACAAGGCACCAAAACTGAACTAATCCATGTGCCTTTCAATGAGTGGTTTGGGCAGTTCATATTACTGGTTCTTCCTCTTCTTCCTCAGGTCTCCATGATGTATCTTGGAACATTAAAGATATCCAGCTGGTGACAAAATGGTGGTCTTGGGTGGTAAATATTCCTTGTTTTTTGCTGGAAAATGGAGGGTAGGGGACAGGCTGGTGTTTCACGTAGTGACTGCAGCAGGTTGAGGAAGAGGGTGGGGATGGGGGTCCTGTTTCCCCGAGGCCATGGTGGGAAGGGTGGGTGTGCTGCCTGCAGTCAGTGGGGTGTGGGTAGAATAGCTTGCCTGCACCACCGGGGACTTCACTTCTGCCTGCTGGAACCCCGTTCTGTGCTGCCTCTGACACACGGGCGTTGCTGTGCGCTTGTGACGTACACTCTGTGCTCACTGTGCTCTCTGCACTCCTGTGCTGCAGGCAGTATTCATTTTTGCTACTGAGTTTTGGGCAGTGTTTAGTTTTGCTGCTGAGTTTGGTCCGAGGCGGGGAAGCATGGCATGTGGGGTATGGAGGGGCATCCAGTCTGTCATTTTTTGCATTGGTACAATGTATATTTCTCCCCAGCATCACCTTTGCTCTGGTCAGGCCTGAATGCTCCTCTGTTCCAGGAAGGAGTTCAGGAGCTTGGGCACAAAGTGGCTGGAGGTAGTCCAAATGCAGAGATTGATGGGCAGCTCCCAGCATGCCAGGTTTCTACCCCTTTGTCTTTATGTGTCAATACTGTTGTCATATTCTTGACTTTCCCTAGTTGTTTCCTTGATGGAGAGGTGCCAGGAGAAACTGCATTTCTTGAGGCTTTTCTTTAGCCAAGTGAGCGCAATCCTTGTGGGGTCCCTGTAGCACAACTGCTTGGGGAAATACAACAGTGGCATGACAGCAGGGGCTTGCGTGACCTGTACAAGTCCACCAGGATCCGAAGCTTGAAGTGGAAAAGGAGAAGGAAACAAGGCATAAGTGGAGCTGATAGGATGTGTGAGCCTTGCTGCACAGGGACCTCCTCTGTATTTAAACCCCATGTTCTACCTCTCCGTGGCAGTGGCTAAGCAGTACCCTTCCCGAGAGGTGACTATTCAGCGCTCCATCAGTGGGATGCTGAGCAATCGGAGAGACTTACAAAGCTGTCTTCAGAGAGGGAGAAGCACCAGTCAGATCAGTGAGAGCCATGAGGAGTTTGCTTTCTTTCACATTTTCTGCAAGGGGGTGTAGGCTGTGCAGGCCTCCAGCAGCTTTCTCCAGCAGCTGGATCAGAGACCTGCGGCAGAAGGTAAAGCTCTGCAACTGACTACAGCCTTGGCTGTTCTGTGAGAGACAGAGCCCATCTTCCTGCAGCTGGGGCCAAGGGAGCTGTGGGTAGGGGTCACAGCAGGGAACAGTTTCCAATCCTGAGTCTGCTGCAGGCTTTGCCTCCTGAGGATGTATCCAGTTAGTACAAAGCAAATCTCAGCAATGTACTGTAGTCACAGCTGTTGCACAGCCTACTCCTGGACTGTGCCCTCGGGGTGGTGAGGATGGCAGTTTCAGCTGGGAAGGAGGTCACCATGAGTTGTCGTCCTAACGCCTTTGCTGGGAGGAGTGTGACAGTGGGGATCTCCTCCTCCTCGCTCTCAAGTGCACTGGGGCCACTTTTACACATTTTCTAGCACATCCTACCCTTCTCTTCATTCATCTGCAGCTCCAGGTTACTTCTGCCTTTAGAGTAAGTGATGTATGTATGCTGGTTCTTTGCTCAGGTACCTCTGACACCATTGGTTTTGTCAGCTCTTAGATTTGTGTCACTGAAAGGAATTGCCCAAGGGTGAGTTGCTGGTGGGGCCTCAGCTATCGCCCTGTACTACTCTACCTTGCACCTTCACCGCAGGGGTTATTCTGTGTAACTTCTTACTAACTCATTCCCACCCTTGAAATACTAACAGCAGACATCAGACCATGCCACAGTACAGGGGAAGCAAAACTGTAAGTAGTCAATGGCCACTTGGTAATTAGATGCTGTTGCAAACTAAGTAAATCAAACAAAGCTCCAGGCGAGCTGAGGGAAACCCAGATGAAGACTGACAGCCCCAGTCCTGAGGCCTTGCAAGCTCAGTGCAGGCTCCATTCCCTAGCCCTGTCCCAGCCCATTCTTGTGGGCTGATGTCCCTGTAACCACAGGCTCAGAGCGCAGAGCTGCTCACCTTGGCTCCTGGGTGGTGCAGGCTGTGGGTGGGGGGTCTCGGTGCTTCATTAGGGCCTTTTCCCTCTATCTGGAGAAGCTGGGCTGTTTTGGAAGGAAGGGGTTACCCCTGGCTCCTGGCACATCTTTGGAGGTACCAGCTGTGCTGGGGGCATGAAGGGCAGAGACAAGGAGCTACAGCCTGGGTGAGCAGGATCCTGAGCAGCACTGGAGGGGTAGCCGTCATTCCCCCCTCCTGCAAGAGGGGCTGGCATGGCAGGGATGAGAGTGAGGGGACAGCCCCAGCACTCGCCTGCCCTGGCATATGTGGTCAGAGCTCTGCTGCTGCTGGCCCTGCGGTGGCTCTGCCCCAACCCAGGGAAGGGCCACACGGTTGGCAGCACCTATGGGGGGGCAGCTCTCACTCCCTTCAACAGCATCCCCTGCGGCGACATCTCTGTTAATAAAGTTAACTGTTAATAGAGTTTTCTTGGTTAACAGCCCTGCTGCCTGTGCCGTGCATGGGGTGGGGGGGGGCACTCTGGCATGACGCCTCACTGGCTGGCTCCAGCCCGGGGTTCTGGATGCCCTGCCAACCTGGGGCTGTGGCTCAAAGGGTCTACCGGAGGCTGCCCGTGCTGGAGGCTGGGGGGGCATCCTTTCTCTCACAGGTGTTGTGTCCCTCCTGGGCTGGGGGCTGCTGCTTTACCCAGCCTGGCTTCTGAAAATCCAGACCTGGGGGAGCCGGGGATGCCACCAGGCTGGCAGGGCCAGCTTCCTGCCTGCCTCCTGCCTGGCCCACTGCAGAAATGAATGCAGGTGCACACTGGGTGGCAATGCTTCCTCCGGAGTGGGCAGGGGGACATTGCCCTCTCCTTGATGTGGCCCTTTGGCACCCGCAGCACTTGGTGTAGGCAGGGAGCACCGCTGTGCATGCAGGCGAGGAGGGGCAGAAGGATCACCCTGTGCTGCTGCCAGCTCCTGGCTGTAACCAGTGTCCTTGTCTTGTACCCTGCATGGGACTTTGTCCCCAGCCCAGGTTGCCTGTGGAAGGGGCTGGAGCTGTCCATACAGTGAGGCACATTCCGGGAGCAACAAGGCAGATACCCACTGCTTCCACGTTCCCCAGAGGTGTAGGGTGCACTAATGCTGCATGTACATTCCCCACCAGGGCCACTGCAACTGGGGGGGTCTGGCCACCCACCAGAGTCCTGTCCGCTACTGAACAGGACCAATTCCAGTGTTGGAGGAACTTCCCCAGGGCAGGGGCTCACCTTGCTTGGCAGCTTCCCAGTGGTTAAAGGACCTTGGCTGAAGTGGAGTGGTGATGGCTAGCCCAACAGGACCATGGGGTTGCCAGGGCCTGCCCACTCATACCTGAGCCAGGCAGGTGCCCGGGGGTACTGCAGGGTTCCTATGGACAAAAAGCCATCACCATGATGCCATCACCTTGGGGTCCTTTCCTCCTGAGCCAAGTGCTAAGGTGGCCATCCTCTCCCAGGTGGGCATCCAGGTCCCCAGGGAGAAGCCTATGCTTACCACATCTTGTGTGTGTGTGCTCAGAGCCCTCGTATCTCTTGGGCCCACTTCTCCATGCTGCACCCACAGTCATCTCACCCAGCATCCAGTACAGCCCTCAGGAAAACTATCTGGGGACCCCAAGACACTGGGTAGGACAGGGCTGCCTGTGCATCATAATCCCTTCCAGACACAGCATAGGTAGTCCCACACAGACCAACTGCCTCCTAAGTGTTCCTGCTTCGTCCCCTTATTTCCCCGGTTAGTTTAGCCCTGCATGGCTGGTCCGGGAATCCAACCAAGGTCTTGTGCTGTGGTTGCCTGTCCTTCCTCCTGGGATACACCAAGCCACAGAGCCTGACTGGCAATCAGGCGTGTCTTGGCACCATTCATTGACAGGCTGAACCCAAACCAAGCCTGATGGGACCCAGCAAAGTAGAAGGTACTCTGTGAAACCCTTTGGGGTTTCCAGCGACTACTATCTCCTCACCTGCAGATAGAGCCACAGTAGCTGATCCCAAATTTATCCTAGTCTTAAACCTGTTTTAACTGGTTATACTGGATGAGTGGCCCCAGTCCCAAAGACGGGGCTGGAGTTTGGAGTAAGGGTGGGGTACTGTCAGTGAGGGAGGAGTGATCAGACACTGCAAGCCAATGGTCTATATTTTGGGGTGCTTTGTAGCCAGAGCCAGGGCCCCTTGCTGCTTTGGATGATTTCTAAGCATACATAACAGTTCCAAGCTGCAGGCTGGGCAGCCAGCTGAGAAAGAATAAAAAAATGCTACCATCAGACTGCTGAAAGCCTGAGAAGAGTCTGAAACCAAATCAAAAGCTAGAAACAGCACAAGAGATACCCCAGAGCAGGGACCAAGTACTTCAGGGACTACAGCTGGAGGAACCAGGGCTATATGCCCTGTCCTTGTCTCATCATCCATTGCATGAAATTAAGGAAAGCAAAAGAGGAGCTCAGTATGAAACATGGTGAGCTCAGGCCTCCTGCTGCCTTTTCCAGTGGTGGCTGAAGGTAGGGCTAAGTGCGAAAGAGTGGATGGGGAAGGGGTACTAAATCCACTGTAGGGCTGCACAGAGGCTGCTGATGTGGAACCTTGAGTGAGCCTGGCTGGCTGTGGAGTATAACTATGAGACATCTCTGGTTACCAGAAGTCTTCACCATGTGGGGGGGCTAAACTGCTAGGAGATAGTCCCTGGTACCTGCCTGGAGGGAAACTCACCCTCTCTGGGCTCTCTGCCCCACTTGCAGGGGCTCCCGCCTTCCCCAAGGGGGTTGGTGGGCTGAGCCAAGTGTAGGTGCAATACCTCGGAGCTTCCCAGGCTGGAAGACCCTCCTTGACTGCCAGTCACCTCCAGGTCTGGCAAGTGTTCCCCCCACAACCACCTCGTCCCTGCCTGTCCCATCTCTCTGTTCATAGCCAGAGTCAAGGGGTAACACAGAGAATGGAAAAGAGCCTTTATTTAGAAAGCGCGTGGCACCCAGTGCTCCTGGGCCCTCTTCCCTGCTATCTCCCACCCAATTGAGCCCACTAACATCCCGACAAATAACGCACCCCCACCTCCTGTCCCTTTTGCTGTGGATGCAGAGACCTTCTCACCCAGCAGCTCCCCAGGCGCAGGACCTGCTGTCACAGCACTTGCCCCATCCCACCCCTGGCCAAGCATCTCCACCCCCCTGTGAGCAGCCACCCCTGTACCTGTCTGAGAGCCACCGCAGCCCCTTGGAGCTGAGCCTGCACCGCGCACTCACCCCCCATGCTCCCTGGCCAGGGCATTCCTGTGCAGCCCCTGTGGAGGCACAAGGCCAGGAGCAGGGATATCCCTTGTCCCTGCCCTGCTACCGGTGCGGAGGCTCTTGCTTCTGGTGTCGCAGCCGCTGCTGCCTGCGGAAGGGCTGGGGGCTGAGCAGGGGGATGTGTCTGATGAGACACAGGGGTGAGCCCGGGCTGGAGATTTCAGAGCAGGGAGATGACGGCTGGTGTCCCAGGGCTGGGAGATGGTGTCTGGGCATTGCAGCTGGCATGGCAAAAGGCACAACGGCCTCCGAGGGGATGAGAAAGGCGGGCACAAAGCCGTAAGAGAGATCAAAGGCTTTGGGGGCTACTCCACTCCGTAATGGGGCAAGGCGGGCTTGTGCTGGGCTAGCCACGGCACCTGGGTGCCCCATGGGGCCCACAGGGACCCTGCCCACCTGGCCCTTCTGCAGCAGCTCCTCCAGTTTCTCCAGCTGTGTCCGGCAGACGTAGGAGCGTGTGCGGCTCTGGCAGAAGGAATCCAGAAAAGAATCGAGGGGCAGGTCCTGGGCCAGGAACTGCTCTATCTGTGCCTGTGGGACAGGCAGTGGGACAGCATCAAGCCAAGAGAGCCATGGGACCACGG